TTTTTTTTTGACGACTACATAAATGACTGTCTTGATTATATTGTGTAGAGAGCAAAAGTACCTCTTCCAACCAGTCGCATTCGTTTAACTCCATATTACTTGAATCAACCTCCAGAATCTTCATATTTGAATCCTACAACAAACTTGCAAATTCCTTATAATTTGCCACTTTCAGCAAATATAGATAGTCACTGCTTAACAGTTATCGCCCAAAATTCACATCAGTCAAGACTCGTACGGCAAATTGCACGCCGTCGTACAGAACTGGTGGACGTGTTCCCATACCTACCCAGTAACACATAAAACATGTGACCCGCCACTACACAAAGACTTTCAATTCTCTTGCAAAACAATCCAGTGTTTTACGAATTACCCTACTAAACCTTCCAGTAACAATCATTGGATGAAACAGCCACCGGGTAATCTAAAAACTTCTATCTAGCATCGCACACAGGCCTTTTTACAAGATACGTGAAAAATATTCAAACGATTCAGATTTCTTACAAACAGATCCGACCACTCAACACTTTCGCTTAAACACCAAACTTGAGTTTACTTATCCTCCTCCACCAGTACCTTTACACTCTCATCGCTAAGACGTGACTTTTTATACAATCACAGCTATCACCAACAACTCAGATTAAAAGACGAGTGCGAACCACTACTCCAGAGTGCCCTTTAATTTCAGGCATCCAAACTTTCTGTCTTCTAATGTAACATGCGTTTTTGAACAGTAAAACAACTCCACAGTTACAAATGCCACTAAAATAAAATTACTACAAACATCCTAGTTCTGACAATACACCAAAACAAATTTAGATCAAATTCCTAATACGCGCTCCACGGCGTCAAACGACCGCTCCAACCTGATCTACAAAACCGCAAAAGGCAAACCACCATAACTCTAAAGAAAGACAGTGAGTCACGAAAATTTCTGCCAACCGTATATGACCATGTTTTTAAGGGGTCTCCAAAACCGAAGACCTTTAAAGCCAACACTATTACAGAGAAAATTGTAATAAAATAGCAAATTCAGAAACAAACACCTTATAGCTTTACATTTATCTTTATCTTTAAATTGCAAAACTGCTGGAGAACAAGCCAGCACCTCAGCATGTCAAATTAATAATTTTATTTTTTTCTTACAGTATACGATGAGAACTTTACATGAGATCATGTTACGGTGCTGAGATCACTATTGTGCATAAATAATGTCCACACAGCTCAAGCATAAACCAATAAAAATACAAAGTTACAAAAAGGATCTACCCTACCCCTCCGGTTGCCTGCGACTCTTCAATCAACTGACTATGCTGCCTAGATTCTTCGACAACACTTCCTGAAGCAATAAAAATACTTTCTAAGGACGACTAAAAAATATTTGTTTACTAAGACGACTTACAGGATTTTCTACTAGGCCAAGGAAGCTGACACCATTAAAACGGAATCAAATGATGAAAAAAATAAAAGGTAGCTTACGACAAAGCAGCATCTTCTTTTTCACTGCATGCGGATCAATAGAAACGTTTTTGGTGCAGTCGAAAGTTTTGTAGATTCCAATAAGTCGATCTGCTAATTCAAACATGTTGTTTCGCAGTGAAATGATAATGAATTGAGCGTTCTTTGTCCTCTCCTAAAAAAGACAATAAAGAGTTAAACTCCAGATGTAAACCGAGGTATAAAATAAAGATAATTTCAGGCTCTCATATGTCATCAAAGTAGTTTCTTTACCTTGACATAATGTCCAATAATTGAAACATTTCTGAAATCTAATGCAGCGTCAATTTCATCCATTATGTACAGAGGCGTAGGTCGATAATGATGCAAAGCAAAGACGAGTGCCAAAGAAGCCAATGTTTTTTCACCTCCAGAAAGATTGCTGATTTGTTTCCAGGACTTTTTAGGCGGCCGAACACTACAGGCTTACAAAATTGTAACCGAGTAAAAGCAAAAGTCTTTGTAGTTGTTAAAATATTACTCCAGTAAAAAAACCTTTCCGAGGTAGATGCAACATACCCAAATGAAACGCCCTCACTAAAGGGATCCAGTGAGTCGACAAGATCTAAACTGGCATTTCCGCCTAAAGTGATCATCTGATACATCTCCTTGAGTAAAACTCCAATTTGGGTAAACCCTTCCATAAACTCTGTCATCCTCTGTTTTCTCAGTTTTTGATACAGTTGCCTGTGCCTGTCACGGTTTAAGGAAATAGTGTTTAGGATATCCATTTCATGATCATAACGGTCAAGCTATAAAAAACCTGTTCTCAAATTAATACTTTTTGATGTGGAGATTAAATCTTCAATAAATTAAGAACGAATGTAACTAAATATCTGAAACAACACCTTTGTTAAGTATTCGCTCAAGTCGTTCATATTTATGCCTTTAGCAACTTTTCGTTTTTCCAGGTTTCTGATATTGAACCTAAGGTATTTCAGAGCTAAAGCAAGTTAAAAGACAAGATTTTTTGAACGGGCAGAAAAGGATAAAACATTTAAAATAATAAATGAGATGATTCCAAAAACCTACCCAATTTCCTCAGTATCAAAATGCTCAACTTCCTCCTGAGTGTAACGAGGTAATTCACTGCTTTGTACAATAGCTTCCTTTTGAACAGGTATATCTAAGTCTCCTATCTGAAAAAAAGGATCTAGCTTATGACACTGAACTTTGAAAAATCAATCAAAAAGAAAACGGCTCTTTTACACAATTTTTAAACTGCTAATGAAACTTGCCTTAAGTCTCTCGAGAAAGTCCTTCTCAAGGTCCATCGCCTTCTTTATCATTGCGTCGTCATCGGCTCCACTCTCCTTTATTTCATTAGGAAAGCGATCAAGAAATTTAACGAATTTTAGCCGGAGTGATGAGATCTGGAGAGAACATGAATTCAAATAAACAGCTCAAACCACTTAACAAATACCGAAGACCGCCCAAAAATGCTGGAAGATTTAATTGCTGGACGCGACGAAAAAAGGTCTAAAATACAGCTTAATTAGGTCAAGATAATGATCATCCCAATCACTACCTTATTTTTGATAGAACTCAGTTTGCTTTTCGCAAGTTCCAAAGCATGATCCTGTTCCTTCAAATTGCGAGTATAATCATCAAATTTCTTCTTCAATTCTACGTCTTCGCCGTCTAACTCAACATTTCGAGCTCGCGCTTCTTCCAACACTGTCTCAGCCTCTAACATTTTCTCCTGAAAAACCCTATTAGTTCACAATATTTCTTTTATCTTTCGACAGTGACACATTATCCACTTTACCAATTCAAAAAACAAGGACACAAAGACAAAAATAAAAAAATTTCTAAAAAATGATGCGTAATAAAGTAAGTCACACTCTACCTCTGCAGCTTTTTTATCTTCTTCCACTGACGAAACTTCTTCAGAAAAATTCGATTCATCATTTTCTAGTTGCACTAGAGCATTTTCTGCTTCATTGTAATCAGATTCAAGATCAATTTTCCTTAAAAAGCAAGACATACGATCAAAACAAGTGAAAATCCTAACGAAATTTCATTCGCATCCGATAACTTTGACGCTTAATAGCTTACAAGTTGAAAATTAAAGACAGAAAAGTATAAAAGCAATAAGGCACACCTCGCTTTCGACTTATTCATGTTCCTCTGAGCATTATTTAAAGCAGCCTGTTCTTTAGATATACCTTTCGACGCAGTCTCTTTCCTTCAAACCAATGACAAAAGAATTAACGAACTAAAGAAACAGACTCATCCCTAATTCAGACAAGAGCGAATACAGAATTTGATACTACAAAGACAACGGTTATTTACCAGGATTAGTATGCATTTTTGCGTATGAACACAGGATGCAACCACTAACTACTTTCCAAGAGGAATGATTAAATTCCGTTTATTCTATGAAAATAAATAAGCGAGATCTAAATTATTTTAAATATAAACCTCGTCTTCAATTCGTTCAGATCTTTAGAAGCCTGTCCAACGACACGATCGTAAACTTCTTGAATCCTGTCAGTAAATTCAGCTACGCTCTGACGTACTTCATCGGCCGCTTCAGTTGCAGTATCCCGTTCTGAAATTTCAGAAAATTTAAAGGTAACAATACGAAAAGACTATAACATCAAATAGCGGGATCAGTGAAGACCTTCAGAAAGCCTCGCTACGGTCGCTTTTGCTTCTTGAACAGCTGCATCATCAACAGCAGCATTTTTAGCTTTTTCTTTCTGCTCTTCCAAATTCCTTTTCAAAGCTTCTACTTTCTGCTCAAGGGGGCCAATTTCATTTTCAAGACTTCCACTAGTTCGTTTCAAGCGGTCGTAATCTGCTTGTAATGAGTTTAAACGGGATTCAACCTAAAAAACAACGACTCAACTCAGCATCTCACGTTACAAAATTATATTTTTAATCAATTGCCAACAAATACAAATGAATTATAGAGCTGGAGTAGACTTCTGCACAAAATCTATACAAACAAACAAGAAAAAATAAAGCATCCAGTAATTCAACTGGTGAAAAACCTGCTGCAAAGTCCTTCGTAAATCGGTTAATTCCTCTTGCTTATCAGTGAGCTGCTTTTCAAGTTCATCCATTTCATTAGAACTAACTTTTGAAGTGTCAACTTTTATATTTTGACCTATTCGTCCTCTAAAAAATCTTTCAAATAATTTCTAAAAAAAATGTTGTAAAAAAAATTTTTTTACCTCTTTTCAGCTCTCCCACCACCAGCCATTAATCCGCTAGCTTCGACAACCTCACCCTTCAGCGTTACAACACGATGACGCTTGGCACCCTCCAAACCAATGCGAGTTGCAGTGGTTATATCATTTGCAACCAACGTCTCACGTAAAGCATAGTAAAAGGCCGGAAGTACGTTCGGATCAGCTACACGAATTAGATCAAACAAGCGTGGTACTTGCTCTGGCCTGAAAGGGCTCCACTGCACATCTACAGAACAGCTCGAAGAACGAAAACGTTTTACGTTGAAGCAGGTTTCTCCATATATCGCCGCAAATGTGCTTGCTTATCAAGAGCAATAAAGGTTGCTATTCCAAGATTTTCCTTTTTCAAAAAATCCACGCATTGCTGAGCCGTATCAATAGTATCTACAACAATGTAGTCCAGAGCGCCACAGGTGGTTGATATTGCAACGTCATATTTCTGATCAATTGCCCCCAAATCACCCTTAATTAAAAATTCGATTAGCTAAAGCTTCAGCAGCCATCCTGCACGAAACCTATGAAGGCAAGTAAGAATGCAAAACATATGCCCAACAAATGAAAAACTAGCAACCATACCAAACGACCAAAAATGCCCGGAATCTTTCCGCTTTTTTTCTCACGCATCAGACGATTTAATAGGTTGTTTTGTGACTTGAACGCTTCAACCGTTTGTTTTTTTCGTTCATACTTATTGCGCAAATTTCTCACCTAAAAAAATAAAAAAACCAGCAACTTCTACCTACGCATTTAATTCAGCTTTAAAAACCTACCGCCTCAACGCACGCTGGTTCCTTCCGTCGAACTTCAGCCAGTTCGGCTTTTCTAGACTTCAGCTGTTCTTCCAAATTCGGAATTGCTTTGGAAACATTTTCAAAATCTCTAAACAAAATAATGTCGCATCAATTCTCAGAGAAAAAAGTGAAAACTTATGCCTTACAGATGTTTTAAAAACTATTTAAAAATACCAGCGGGAAGAAAAGAAAATAAAAAAAATCAGGTAGTGGTCTTGAGTTCTTATCTAGAAAGTAATACTTCTTCTTTGTTTGAAGAAGTTCAACAGCATCATTTAAAGACGTTTGCAAATTTGCGACTTTCGTACGCTCTTTTTCCTCCTCCATACGCAACAACTGCAAAGCCTCTTGAGCAAGAGTCAACTGAAAATCATACACGATCGATATTTATAGACAATCAAAAAGTTTATCTGAATATAGGATTCTCAAAAGATATTGTTTGAAACAAACTAAAAATTTAAATTTCCTAACCTTGCTGCAAGCCTCATCCTCCCTCACGATTAACTTGCCAAGCTTTTCTTCTGAAGCTTTTTTCTTATTTTGAAAATCAACAGTTTCTTCTTCAAATACGGCCATATACTTGTCAACCTAAATGAAAACAAGAGAAAAATGGCTTTACATGAACTTGACAACAACTCAAAAATTATTTCTGAAACAAACGAGAGACAAGACCTCTGCTTGCTTTCCAGCAATAACTTCTTCAATTCCTGACAATGTCTCTCTAAACTCTTCAATCTTTTTTAGAGCATTTTCAGGAACTTTCTCCAGATCACTGATCTGAAAAATGCTGCAAAAAGTATAAATCTCAAAATGGTAACTTTCATAACGTAAAGGAAACTGTACTACTACATTGAAAAAAAAGTTGAAGTTGTCGTCAAACCTTCTTCTCCTCCTTCTTCATTTCATCGCTCAATTTTTTGACTTTTTCTTGAAGACGAATCTTCTCAATCTTCCGTTTCTTGGCTGCCTGTTCCATTTCACTTATTTTACTCTTCAAATGCTCAAAATTTTTTTGCGCAGCTTCGTAGGCCCTTAAAGTGTATGTCAACCAGTAAATTCAAAGATAAAAAACTAGATAATCTGTACTGTTACTAAATGTCCAATATCAAATTAAAAGAAGATTTGGCACAACTACAAAGCGTAACAAACAGCAAGAATCCGAAGCTAAGAATAGTGCGCGGATAATTTTGTTGAAACTCAGGATACACCTCTGCAATTTCAGATTATCCTGTTTCTTTTCTTTTTGTGCAGCAGCAACTTCTTTCTGCCTTGCTTTAACTTCTTCAAATTCTCCCACAAGGGTTTCTTTCTCCTGCTCCTGTTTTTGGAGATTTCGTGTAGCGTTCCACCTGAATAGCCTCAATTTTTAGAAATCTAAAGAAACTCTTTAGCGAAAGAAAAAAAATTGATAACGGTTGCAACCAAAAGTGCAAGATCACCAAAAATAAAAATATGGGATGAGAAACTGAAAGATATAATCTAACTCATCAACAGAATAAAGCTGGTTTTTTGCCAGAACAATAGCGTTGTCAGTGCGTATCTCTGCCATTAACTCAATTACAGGCTGCTCCGCACTATCCTTCTCTTTCTCTGCATACTTGACCTTAACGAGCTGAGAAGTCCGTGCCTCCTGGAGTTCCTCGATCTTAACAGAAAGTTTCTCCAAGGGGACCTGTAAGTCAAAATATAAACATGGGAAATGCACAAAGAATTACTTGCTCAATCAGTTAAAAATAACTGTAAACCTTTAATCTACTAGAGCCAATAATATCTTCAAGATATTCGAGCATCCCATAGTCGTTCTCCGTCTGAGATTTTGGTTTCATCATTGCGATTTGCTCAACTTCACCCTGTGAAATATATTAGCCAAACCAGCAAAGAACAGAAGACGGGCAAATACCATCAAATAAGACGACACTACCTGCAGAATGAGAAAACGATTATGGATCAAGTCGATTCCGACCTGGCGTAACAATTTGGCTACGTCTTTAAACTGCATAGCTTTTCCATTATAAAAGTACTTGGAAGAGTTGTCTTTATACGCTGTACGAGAAACTTTGAACTGACTCCCTGGCACGACTTTGAAGCCTCCATCTTGCTAAAATTGAGCAGTTAGACAACACTGATACTTTAACAATAAGTCATAAAGAACACAATCTCACATGTACAATAAAAGCAAAAAAAAGATAACAGCGGACCTCTCCCCCCCTCCGCAAAGTCACAATATTAGTGCTGTGTGTCGCAATAAAAAGCCCTTATCATGCAGATGCCTTCAGCCAATTAAGGAACCTTGTACAAATGAAAGTAACTGTTCCTTTCTAAGATGGTAGTAAAATATTAACAAAATAAAGAAAAGACGAGCTGCGAGAAAAATAAAAAATAATTTGTATTTGGACAACTTACCAAGTCTATAATTTTCTGAAAGTTGACAGCAACCGAACAACTTTGTAGATTTTCATGACTAGCAGAAGAGTGAATTAAAACACTCAGTTTTGCTGACCTTAATTTGGCAGCCCGATAGCCAAAGACAAATAATAGTGAATCAATTACATTACTTTTCCCGCTACCGTTAGGGCCAATTATGGAAGTAAAGTTCTAAATGAAAAAAAATTATGCGAAAGTTCAAAATAACTAGACAACAATAAAACATGAAATCAAAACTTCTAAAGTCATAAAGAAATATAAAAATTCGTAACACGCAGTTTCTTCTGAAGCTAAATAAAAAATTCTCCTCAACTGTACGGAGAAGCAAATACCTGATGAAACGGCCCAATAACTTGCCTTCCATAATAAGACTTGAAATTTTCGACTTCAATGCTTTCTATCATTAAACGTTGTCCACTTCCATCGGAACTCATAACGGGTTCAGGCATTGGTGGTATTTCCATATTCAACAGATCCTGGGAAAACGAGCATTTAGATAATTCGTGTCTTTTAAAAATACGAAATGACGTTGCATACTTCCCAGACTGTTATTTACGAAAAATTAATAATTCCCAGACTGTTATTTACGAAAAATTAATAATAATACCAAAAACTTAATGGTTTTTTCCTTCAATACAGACAACTAAAAGAAATAAACAAGAAGCCTTGAAAACAACATCACCTCTCCATCTATGTTGTTCCTGAGCTGTTCGCAAAGATCCTCCTCATCTTCAGCTACAGGAGGTACTTCAGACACAGTATTACTGCCCTTTGCTGTACCTTAAGAAATCTTAGGCGTATTAAGATCACGCTTGGGAAGAAGTTTTAAGTGTATTTCACAAGCTGAAAATCACACTAGCATACGTAACCCAAAAATGATCTGACTTCCTACCCTTCTTTGGGCAATAAAGTTACCTGATTCCGCTGCGGCCTGATCCTTAGTTTCAAGATTAGTCCTTTTTTGCCGCACAGAGCCATCTTTACTTAAAAGTTTCGGCATACCCTGTAAAAGTCCCTGTAAAAGATGAAGGTAGAAGATAAAAGATGAGAATCGAAAACGACGCATTTACGGGAACTGTGCAAATTTTTTTATTTCCGTCAGGTGTTCATCTCAGTGGTACATGGTTACAGTACCTAGGTTCCAAAGCAACGTATATCTTTGATACCAGGAAAATCCTAACTCAATCAAACTGTTCACTAATAAAATGTAATATTTCCATCCTTTTAACGGATAAAGACACACAGTAAAACACCAGCATTACTACACGTGATAGCTACTTTTAATTATTTATTAATTTTGAATATACTCCATGACTTCAGTTGGATTTGCTTTCCTTCAGTAATACGGAGGAACATTGCGCTTGTTTAAGCTTCCACTTTACGTATACCCTATATACTACGGGTAAAATTTGAAAGATGAAAAAGACCTTCAGGTTTATTATACTGGTCAGTGAATAAAGCAATAACTTCTCTACCAAACAGTATTTTAAAACTGCTGAAAACTCAATGTTACTGCGGACTTTTGTACCGCTGAGTTGAATTTGATTTTCCCGCCGCCAGCTATATTCAAAAAGTCCTCTTTGGCGCCAGCAGCTGCAAATTTAAGGCTGGCCGCCAAGCATGCATAGCATTTGTTCGTACTTTTCTGAGACGCACCTTGTATGGTATAATCTCTGATGTTCCGTTTTCCGACCACCTCTACGTTTCTGTGGAAAAGTTCTACTACCGGCTTTAACTCTTTCTTCCTATTCCATAGGTCTTTTAAAGATAAAGAACAAAATAACAACCCACAAAACAAAAGCTGGTAGGAGGGTGGTAACCGCACGGCAAAAGTGTGCATGATGCCTACGGTGTGCATTTCCCTCAAAAAGGTACCAGCTCAATTTACCGCAACTTTTCAAATTACCCATCTTTAAAATTACAAAGGCAAAGAAGAAAGAAATATGTGCCAGAAACATTCTAACTTCAAAAAAAAAAA